CCCCCAACGAGCCCATGGATCTGGAGGGGGCCGAGGACAACCACCTAAGCCTGCTGGAGGGGCCCGGCGGGCAGCCCCGCAAGAGCCTCCGGCACTCGGCCCGCAAGAAGGAGTGGGGCAAGAAGGAGCCCCTGGCGGCCTCCCCTTTTGAGCGGCGGGAGGTGGGGCCCAAGGGTCCCTGCCCTGGGGAGGAGGCTGAAGGGCCAGGGGACAGGGTCCCCAGCGGCATCCTGGCGGGCGTGGCGGCGGGCAGCGGGCAGCGGGCCCTATGGGGATCCCCCATACCCCTGCAAGGAGGAGGAGGAGAATGGCAAGGACAGGAGCGAGGACAGTGGGCAGAGCGGCAGCGAGGGGGGCGGCGGCCGCGCGGGCGCGCACTACATGTTTCGGCAGGAGGGCTACGAGGCGGTGTCCTACGGGGACAACCTGTACGTGTGCATCCCTTGCGCCAAGGGCTTCCCCAGCTCCGAGCAGCTCAACGCCCACGTGGAGACGCACACGGAGGAGGAGCTCTTCATCAAGGAGGAGGGCGCCTACGAGACGGGTAGCGGGGGCGCTGAGGAGGAGGCCGAGGACCTGTCGGCACCCAGTGCGGCCTATGCAGCCGAGCCCCGGCCCTTCAAGTGTTCTGTCTGCGAGAAGACCTACAAGGACCCGGCCACACTGCGGCAGCACGAGAAGACGCACTGGCTGACGCGGCCCTTTCCCTGCAACATCTGTGGCAAGATGTTCACGCAGCGCGGCACCATGACGCGCCACATGCGCAGCCACCTGGGCCTGAAACCCTTTGCCTGCGACGAGTGCGGCATGCGCTTCACCCGCCAGTACCGCCTGACCGAGCACATGCGCGTGCACTCGGGCGAGAAGCCCTATGAGTGCCAGCTCTGCGGGGGCAAGTTCACACAGCAGCGCAACCTCATCAGCCACCTGCGCATGCACACCTCCCCCTCCTAGAAGCCAAAGACCCGCCTCGGGAGCCTGGAAGGAAGGAGCGGAGGCCGGGCCAGCGGGAGGCCCGGGCCCCGGGGCCGGCCAGCGCCCCACACCCAGAGCTTTAATCCACAGTCTGTACCAAGGGAAGAGAGGAGGGCAGCCAGTGCCCCAGCCCTGAGCCTATGGCCACTGTGCCATGCACTTCCCATCCCGCCCGGCCCAGCATCCTGCTCGGCTCCCCGTGGGGGCTGCCACGGGGCCCGCGGTAGTGGGCCACGGGGGTCTCCTGGGGACCCAGCCCCGTTCCTGCAGGCTGGGTCAGAGCAGCGGGAGTGGGGGCCTCCCTCTGGGCTGCGGGGAGCAGGGCGGCTGCGGCCCAGGGCATGTGTGTGTGGCCACCCTGGTTCTGCGGGAAGCGGTGCTGGAAGGAGGGGACAGAGCCCTCCTTCCTTGAGCCAGGGGTCACCGCTCGGTGGCACCGGGACAGTCAGGGCCCCCACCGCCTACCTCTCTACAACTGAAGAGCCCTCTGGGCCCGTGTGGCTGTTATTCCTACTGATGTGTTCCTTTTTTCTTTCTGAATTTTGTTTTTTAAACCAAAACCAACGAGAGTTTATTTTTCCCCCGGCCCCTCGGGGCTGAGCCTGGGTCTGTGGACTGAATGTACTGGGCGGCCGCCCTACCCGCCCTGCATGGCTGTGGCCGGGTGCCCACCCTCCAGGCCCCAGAAGCCCTTCTTGGCCAAAGGCTTCCCTGGGCCCCGAGCCCTGCCTCGGCCGCCTCAGGAGAGAGAGTGCTCTTCCCATAGTTTCCGAGGAATATTCTTTGTTTAGAGGTACTTGTTTTTTATTAAGAGAAAACCCCGTGGAACGTTTATGTGAATGTTTGAACTGGAAGGCCGGGGTTGCTGGGGGGCGGGGGGGCTGGACTTGGTGCCCAGGTGTCGGTACGCGCGTTTCCATTTCTCCGTGTGTGTGGTGTGCGCAGTGCGTGTGTTGCGTTTCCTTCCTTCCTTCCCCATCAAGGTGGAGAGACTTCTGACCTTTTGCTACCTCTTGAATTGGAGAGAACAGGACGCTGGTGACGGCTGCTGTGGCCGTGACACGTGTGTTTTCCTCCTGTCCGTGCGCACGCAGGGGAAGACGTGGTTGAGCGAGTGGGCTCGAGCAGCCCTCCTGGGACCCCGCCTACAGGTCCTGTCTCAGAAGCGGTGCCTGCGTCTCCGGGCACATGCAGCTAGCCGTCCACCCTGAGGGTGTGCTGAGTGTGCTGCTGAGAGTCAGGGAGCTCACCCATGCCTGATTGGCCCAAGTTGGAGGTGTGAGTGCTGCAGCCCCCTGGGGCCCCCCGCGCAGGGGCCAGGAGATGGTAGCCGCTTGGTGGGGAACCAGTCCTTTGCAGCTCCCTGCCAGGCCAGGGTGGGGCGAAGTGAGCACCCCCCATCCTGTCCCCTGGGCCTGCGAGAGTGTGACCTCAGGAGAGCAGTGGCTCCTGCCCCTGCCTGGCCACTGCAGAAGGGCTGACCAGAGGGGCGTGTCCCGCCACCCCGAGGATTGGAGGGGACCTGCCCTGTTTTGGCACCTCTGAGCAGTCCTGGCCCATGGTTTCTCTGGTGCGAGGCTGGCTGCCACCCAGTGGTTCAGCTGCGTCTGTGCCCCATCCTCGCCCCTCACTTTGGGCTCCCTGCCAGCCTGAGACACCTCCCTGGGCCTGGAGCCCACTCACAAGGCCAGACCAAGGTCGTGGGGTCACTCGCCAGCTGGAGCCACGGGGCTGGGCCAGCGCCTTTGTCTTCTTCGTTTTGCTTCGTACTTTTCTATCTTTTCTTTTACTTTAAGTTCAGACCAAAAAATTCCGGAGTCACCCCTTCCCCTCCTCCACCCCTCCAGAGACCCTCCAGCTGAAACAGAGCCTGAGTTCAGGGACGCGAGTGGTGGGTGTGCCAGTGAGGGCGTGTGGGCCGCTCCTCTTCCAGCAAGTCAGGCCCCCTCCAGCCCCTCTGCTCTCCCGACCCCCCCACTCCATCAGCACTTAAGCCACACGACAAAAGTCTGTAGTGGGAGCTGCACACACGCCGCAAGGCGTGGCTTCCAGCGAAGCAGGTGGTTCATGGCAGAGCTTCAGGGACTGGGCGCAGAGGCCCTCACTCGACCTTCGTGCGACATAGTATTGTACCCACCTGAGTATTGTATCGAGCCTTTTCTGTATTTTAACAAGAAAGCAAAACACTAGTTTCCTATTTAAGACTTTAAGGGTTTGTGGGGCGGGCGGGGTTCACACGACACTTGGTTTGGTTTTCTCTTTCCTTGATTTCACGTGGATGCGTGCGTGTGTGCGAGCGTGCGTGGAGATGTGTTCGAGCCCCACCAGGAAATTAGGCCGTTGGAGGCCCAGGGCGGCTTACAGTTCTCTGCTTTAGTCACTTAATTCCTGAATGTTTCGGAGAAACAGGAAACAGAGAAAATAGCAGATGTCATGTAGGAAAGAGGATAAACAAAAACAAAAAAGAAAAAAAAAAGCTCATACCCAAATTCACAAAACCTATTTTTTAAACCAAAGCACATTTTGAATGCGTATGGAACCTCAGTGGGCTCAGAAAAAAAGATACTAATATATTTATCTCATTGTTTACATAAACTTGGACAGTTTCAGACCTCAGCAGCTGTAAGGCCAGTCCCAGTGAAATCCCACCTACTGCTGGAGGCCCTTCCGAGTCGTCCCTGGATCAGCTCGTGGGCAGAGGGGCTCCCACGTTCGCCTGAGCCCTCCTCCCCAGCCCAGGCCTCTCCCAGCCCAGCTGGCACCAAAGAGCTTGGGTCTGTGCTGACCACCCCCCAGGCCTCCTGGCCAGACCGTGGTGGTCCTGGCGGCTGGCTTGGTGAGGGTGGCCGTCAGCTCTGGCCGTAAGACCCAAGTCTGGGCTTGGGCCCTGGGGTGGAGGTGCACCGCTGTCCTGCCCCTCTGCCCGAGACCCTCGGGTGGGTTGTGAGGGTCCCTCTCAAGCCAAAAAGCCAGGACCTTTGCACAGCTCCGTCGACTCCAGCGGGTCCCCACCCCCCCGGGGACCCTCACCTCCACCCTGGCAACGGGAGGGGCTCACTGGGCCGGTCCTTACCAACACAGACGGTGCAAACACTCTGAACAGTGTTGTTTTTGTATCAATATGTTTGTGCAGTGATGAATGTATTTATTTCTCAGACTTGGGGAGAGCGGGCGGCAGGCCGGGCTCCGCCACCGCACGCTCCCGCCAGACCCAGCCCGTCACAGGGGCTCCTCCAGGATTGCAAAAAAGGTAGAGGAAAAGACGAACCTCTAAGCAAATACGAATCTCAGAGACTCGCAGCATAGCCATACTCCTCAGCCTGTGAAACGAACAATCTGGACCCAGACGGACTTTCAGAACCTCACGCAGCCGTGCGTTACCGTCCGTCGCCACTCGGGGGCGCTGGGCCGTCCCTTCCGCGCCGCCCCCGCCCCCACCGTCAGTATTCACTGGACTCGCCGCGTGCAGGAGTGCGATCTGGGCCGGGCCGGCTGGGCAGGCAGACCCCAGCCGCCCTCCCCGCGGCCGTCCTGAGTTGGGGTGAGGCCTGGGCAGCCAGGAGAGCAGGGCTCAGGGCAGGGCGGCTGCATCCGTCCAGTCCCCTTGGCTTGGGGGACGAAAGCAGAGGCGCCCCGTCTTAGAACAGACCAGGGATCTCAGCCCTGCCGTGCCCGCTGCAGGGACCAAGGCCCTGCCCAACCCCAGGGTCACGTGGGCGTTACTAAACCTGTGAATCCGATCCCAGGAGTGGAGGGGTGGAGCGGGGCCTGACCAGAGCCTCAGTCTGACATTCCAAAATCAGGGGTGTGGGTGTGCGCTGCCCAGGACCCCCTACCTAGGACCCCCAGATTGTCACCCCACTTTAACTTTCTACCGGGAACCCCTCCCCCTACCTCACCTTGCTATTTATTGCTGTAATTTATTGACCTCAAAAATGCTGCATAACAGACCTCACTTGGGGCAGAGAGGATCTCCAGGGCTCCCCCCCTCCACTTGGCGGGGCCCCGTGGGGCCAGGTGCTGAGGGGAGCCTCTCTGTCCCCCACCCATCACTTGCTTTCCCCTCCCCCGTTGGGGGACCCCAGGCTGGGCATTGGCCCACTCACAAATACCTCGAGGGGGAGGGGAGGGATGGGGTTATAGCTGTTTTGTTTAATCAGAACTGGAAGAGGGATCATGTCCTATAAGCCCTTCCCAGAAAGGAGGAGGGAACCGTGATCGCACTCCTGCACCGGCCACCGCCGCTGTCAGTCATCACATTGAGTTCACTTCCCGCGAGAGTTTGGATAAATTCAGGTCAGAGCTGCAGGTATGCAGCCCTCAAGTGTCATGGTAAAGCAGTCACCAATCTCTCCATTCAGAAGCGTGCAGTCTTAATGTACAGTGATGAGAAACTGTTATTTTATGATCTTTTCATTAAAAGCTTGATTGAAG